TGTTCTGGTTTTAAATCTGAAATGAAACACTTTTAGTATTATTTCAAAGAAGAAAGAGGTGCTAAGTGATAAAACCAATCAAAAAGACAAGGGAAATTGCAAAGAAGATATTTCAGTAAGCTGTGATCTTACCTGCAGTTTACAGTCCTTAATTATTTCAATTGAGCAGATTCAGGTGAAATTCCTCTTAAAATCAGAGAAATGCACTGATGAGCTTGTGACTGAGCCAAGATGACTCCATGTTCCATTCACGGAGCTCAACCCTGTGTATGAAGGACATCTACAGTATGATGCACAGGAAGTGTTACAGTGTGTTTGGGGAAACTTTCAAGAAACAAGCCAATTCATAAAAAAAGAAGCAAAAAATGTGGACAGTGTAAACTTCAACCAAAAGCAATGAAAATCAGTAAGGAAGGTCACTATATACTTGTTAGGGGAAAATTTAAGAGGAAGAAATAACAATCATAAATAAAAAATCACCAAATACAGGGGACCCGACTATATAAGACAAACACTAATAGACATGACAAATAAAAGCCACAATTGTAGTACTCCATTTCTGCAAAGAAATAGATCAACTAGCAAAAAGTAAGCAAAGAAATAACAGAACTGATTGAAATCTGTGAATAAAGTGACTTACTAGATGTTTATAGAGTATTTCACCCAACAACATCAGAATGCACATTCTTCGCAGGATGTTCACTATCACCACTCTTTTTACTATAGTTCTGGAAATGTTATCCAGAGAAATTAGAGAAGAGAGAGAAATTAAAGGAATAAGAGCTGGAAAGGAAGAAGCTAAATTATCTTTATTTGCATGTGACATGATGCTCCACATAGAAAATCCCAAGAACTCCATCAAAAGACTACTAGAGTTAATCAGGAGTTAATCACAAAGGTGAATACAAAGTCAACACTGAAATATCAACATTCCTCTACACAAACAACTCGCTGAGAGAGAAATTATGGAAATAACACCCTTCAAAATAACACATCACTACTATTAACAATTACTTACACTTTCTAGACCAAGGCATAGAAGACTTCCGCTGTTTCTTCTTCCAGCTGCTTAGCATCAGCCATAGTCTCCTACCTGACACAATAGGTGACCACACAGAAGTGCCAGGTTCCCCCTGCTTTTTTTAAAAAATCATTTTGTCTTGCGATATTTCCATCATTAACACAGTTTTAATTTATAGTACAGGTGAATTTATGAAAAGCTTACTTGTGATAATTTAATTGATCTTTATAATTTCTCTTAGAAATGAAGAAACTGCACCTCTCAGAGGGTAAGTGATTTGCACAAAATCACACACCTATCAAGGGTGGAGACTTCATAGTCCAGTTGTCTGACTTCTCACTCAGTTCCTTTTACATTACAGAAAGTACACTCCACATTCCATAAAACCAAGCCATTACTACCCACCCAGCAAAGTAGTGCTAGGCAACATACCATAGGTTGCAGGAATGTGGGTCCCACTTTGGGAAACATTTCTGCTGCCCAAGTGCTGTTACCACAAGAGGGTGCTGCTTCAATGAGTTGAATCTGGAGTGTAGCCCTTCCTTGTTTCATTTCCACACAATATTTTCATATTTGGCTCCTTCTTAAACACTTCCTTCTCCTCTGCTTCATCCTGAAGGCAAACTGCTTATTTATTTCATGACTTGTGATATCTTTTTTTGCCAAACATTACTAGAAATCATTTACATTTACTCCTCTCACCACCAGTGTCTCCTGAGATACACGCTATGTTGGAACTTAGGGCACTGGGAATCCAAGCAACCAGCTTGCCCCCCTGGTAAGTGGCTGTGGCTCAGGAAGCTGTGACTACCCCAGGGGGAGAACCACCAACATCTCCTGAGTTCCATGCCATGTTGGATCTTAGGGCACTGGGAAACCAAGCAACCAGCTTGCCTCCCTGCTAAGCAGTAGCGAGCCTACCCATGCACAGGGCGAGTATCAAACACCCCCTCCCCAACCATTAGCAAACGGGAGCCAGATTTCTGAACATCTCTTGGGAGGTTGACCATATGCAACATAGTAAATAAGGGTAATTTCCTTCTACCATCTCTTTGATGTGGCAAAAACTGTTTTTCTTTATTCTAAGAAATGATTGCTCCATCCAATATTCTGTTTTGATAAATTCTATAATGTTCTATATTTCATTTTATTTTGCTGTACCTAACTGAAAGAACAACTATTGTGAAGATAAGATATACTGTGGTACTATTACTGTTATCCTGGTAACCTACTGTGAAAAAAAAAGATTAGCTAAAATATATAAATTGTGTAATTAAAGAGTCAAATTTTAAATTAAAAAAACTTACTCCTCTTTTTATGGGGAAATGGAAAATTGTTCTTTATTCAGAATACTGTGGGCAAATCTTAACCTAAAGAAGAAGTGTGTCCCAAATATTTTCTAGTGATTTTTTTTCCATTTCTACACTGTGGGCAGTGGGCAAAGAACCAAACTGCACACTGTTTTTCTACATTAATATGGGTATCTAGTATGTTTAGTACAGCACCTTGCTGACTTCTTAAAGAAATAGTGTCTTTTGGATATGGCTCTTTTTCTGAATGCTTGGATTTTAAAAATTTCTTTTTGTGTTATGAGTTTTTACTGTATTTCTTTTTTTAGAAAAGGTTTGATTACTACATGTTTGCAGTATGTAATAATTAAATGCATCCTGGAGAGCTGTGAATGTAGATAAAATATCTTCAATTATTTTTACACTCTTTTTGACTTATTCTTGGCTGATGCATAAAACTATAAAAATTATACATGTTTGTGGAGTACTATATGATGTTTTGATACAGCAATAAGTTGTGTGATGTTTAATTAAATCAAGATAAACATCTTTGTCTAAATATTTATCTTTTATGGTGAGAATATTCAAAATCTTTTCCTTTAGCTTTTGAAATATATTCTTGTATATTGCTTATAGTCACATAAATATTTACCTGTTTATTAATTTATGTTTGTGATGCTTAAATAATATATTCATCATGAGGGGTTGCTACATTTTTGTGTTGTATCCTGTTACTTTTTACATTTCTTTTCCTCTCTTCCTATCTGTTTCTTGTATTCCTAGATCCCATTTCTATCTCCACAAAGTCATTTTTCTTATCATTTTTCTTTTATTGCTCTCTTTAAATTATTTATACTTGAGAAAAGCTCCAGAGATCCGACCATGGAGGGATTCAGGCAGCTTATTCACCTGCCCTCTTGGTAAGCGTCTGCAACGCGTGCCAGGAGGAGAACAGAGCTCCAGAGTTCTGGCCATGGAGGGACTCAGGCAGCTTATTCACCTGCCCTCTTGATAAGCACCTGCAGCTTGGGCTTGGAGGAGAACCATTACCTGTGAGCCAACTTCCACGTGAGCTGAAAGTGAAGCACCCTTCTCCCACCTGCTCCCTGCCCCCTTAGCTACTGGGGATAGATATTTCAACATCTCTTGGGAGGATGACCATATGCAGTTATAGCAAATATGGGGGATTTCTTTCTATCTTCTGTTTGAAGGCATAGGTTGTTTTCACTTTTTGTTATATTTCTTTTGCTCTATTCAGTATTCTTAATTGGTTTTACAATGTTCTATTTTTGGTTTGATTTTACAATACATAATTGACTGGATAGCTATTGTTAAATTAAAGAGATATACCATAGTACTTAGTACTACTATCCCAGTATCCTACTGTGAAATCCTGTACCAATTTCACTGCATTGTCTCGATTGGCTTTGTTCTGTCTTGCGTTGTTGCATATTTACTACTTTTAAAATTAAAAAAAATACATGTTAAGACCTATGCATGTGTAGAATGTATAAACAGTTTATGAGAACTGATCTTATGACAATTGTTGAAATGAACAGATACTTTGAAGAAAAGGAGACACTAAAATACCCAGTGCTGATCCTGGAGTGTCATAATGTGAAACTCAGCAATAGTGTTATTCTTTGTCCAGAGTGATATTAGCCTGCTTGGGTTTATTGAAAGTCAACATAATTGAGGATATGGGTAACTGCATATATGTTTAAGTGTAGAGGATTGACAACCATATTTTTAAGTTTTTGTTGGATAGTTGAACAGTACTGATTGCAATCTCACTGTTTGAATCCCCACTTTATATGCTCCAATTTAGTATCTTGAATAACTATTTGTAAAAAGACAATCTGTAATCATAAACTAGTGATTTCTTATTGTTTATTTTTCTTTGAAATTATGTATTATTTCTACCTGTTTTCTGTTTTTTTAGTCTTTCTTTAAATTCAGTTTTAAAAAGAAGACACTACACTACCCAGTGCTGATCATGGAGTGTCATGAAGTGAAATGCAGCAATACTATTATCCTTTGTTCAAAATGATTTTAACCTGCTTTCAGTTTGTTTAATCTAAACATAAATGAAGATATGGATAGCTGCATGTATGCTTAAATGTATAGGATTGACAACCATGTTACTAAGTTTTTGTTGGACAGTTGATTAGAACTTTTTGCAATCTCTCTGTTTGAATTCCCACTTTACATGTTCCATTTTTGTACCTTGAACAACTATTTGTAAAATGACAACATCAACTAGTGATTTCTCTTTTTTTCTCTGAATATATGTACTATTTCTACCTATTTTCTGTTTTGTTTAATCTTTCTTTAAATAAAAAAATAAATTATTTATACTTTCTCATAGAGGCAAACTGCATGACATTTAATTCTCTATGTCTGATTTATTTTAATTAGCATGATGGTCTCAAGATACATCCATTTTCCTATAAATGACTCAAATTTATTCTTTATGGCTGAAATTATCTATCTATCTATCTATCTATCTATCTATCTATCTATCTATCTATCTATCATCTGCCAAATCTCTAAGCTGCTAGGCCTCAGAAAAGATCCAAATGAAATGTGGGCTCCTGGGCTCTCGTACTGGCAGATTTCATCCCCTGTTCTTCCTGGGCAGCAGCTGAATCTTTCAGGGAGCTGCACACTGCTGCACTGCTGCTGGTGGGTGGTGCTCTCCTGGGACAGCCCCAGGTGACAGCTGCTAGAGTGAGCCAGGGCAGTGGCTGCCATGCTTTGTCCCTGGTTCCCTTTCCAGTTCAGGGCTGGGCTCAGCAAAACAGCCTACAACATCACCCCTTACATCTAAATATGGAGCAGATGACAAGAGTGACCATGATCCTAATCCTGGGTGAGTTATGGACTAAGGGGAATTTGGATCTGGGCCTGATGATGTGGAACAGAGGTGTTTATTCTGGTCTGCTCCCAACTGCTGCTTACCCAAGATGGTGAGGGAAAGCTTTGAGTCCTGTTTTTCTTCTGGCAGCTTCAAAGTCTTTATATGAAGTGTTTGAGGCCAGTAAAGTTACTCTGGACTACTGATCCCTGGGTTCATTCATGGGAGGGAGAAAGCAAACTGCTAAATCTATGTAGGTAGCCCTGAGCTCTCCTGGAAAAAATACAATGAACATTTTTATCCTGGAGCACAAATGAGAAGTGAACAAATCAGAAATGAGAAATGTGTATGATGGGGAAGTCAGGGGTCGGGCAGATTCAACTGTGAGAGAGAAACACTGGGGATGGGAGTACCCCTACTCCCCTTCTAATCCACCTTATTCCAGCACAGACACCAGCATTGTGTTTACTCCCACAGGTACTGGGAGCCTTGCTAAGACCACTCAGCCTATCTCCATGGACTCCTACGAGGGACAAGAGGTGAACTTGTCCTGTACCCACCCCAACATTGCTACAAATGAATACATCTTCTGGTACCGACAAGTCCACCTGCAGGGACCACAGTTTGTTATTCAAGGTTATAAGACAGACGTGGCCAATGGAGTGGCATCTCTGTTTATCCCTAAAGACAGGAAGTCCAGCACCCTGAGCCTGCCCCGTGTTGCTCTGCAAGACACTGCTGTGTACTACTGCATCGTGGCTGATGCACAGTGAGTCATCTGGCCCTGCACCTGTGCAGTATCCCTCTGTTGGTGGCAGTCATGCCTGTGATTAAGCCCCAAAGCAGGGTTTTCTGAAACTTTCTTTTTCCTTTTTATGAGAGTGTTTGTAAAATAATTCCTGTGCTATTTAAACCTTTCTGCTATTTATTTTTAAACAGATATTTCATTTAAATGGAAAATTGAAAAAGTGGAATAAAATTAAGGAGTATGGGGCATTGTGTTTACCCCACCATTCTGTTGTTTAAAAAGATCATATCTTTTTATTCATTCTTCAGTTGGTTGGCATTTGCACTGCTTGCAAGATTACAAATTGTGTTACTATAAACATGTGTGCATATATATAGCTATGGTATGATGTTTTTAATTCTTCTGGAAAGAAATCCAGAAGGGGAATAGCTGGGTCAAAAAATGGGACTTCTAGTTTTTGAGAACTCTCTACACTGATTTTCATAGTGATTGTACCAGTCGGCACCACCACCAACAGTGAAGAAGAGTTCCTTTTCTCCCTCTGCCCTGCCAGCATTTTTATTGGTTGATTTCTTTTTTTTAAATTTTATTTAAGGAGAAAAGAAAAAAAAAGCAGAGAAAGGGTACAAGTTATACAGATTTACAGAAAAAAATAAACAGTAGGAAATCACTAGTTAATGGATTACATATTGTCATCTTAGAAATAATTGTTCAAGTCACAAAATTAAAGCTTGTAAAGTGGACATTCCAACAATGATACTGCAAACAGTTCTGTTCAATGATCCAATAAAACTCTGTGATATCATTTCCTATCTTATACACTTAAATATACATGTAGTTATATAGTTTAGAGCACTTTCTTTTCCTCTCTTTTGTACAATGACTATTACACATTTTGGGTTTCATTGCTCCCACGGTTCTTATTACTTTTTTGCAAGAGAGTAGAGCCAAATGTGACATAATAGAACAGAATCAGTCAAGTCAAAAGGGTGGACATAATAGATAATGTAAAAACATAATACAAGGTGATCAACAATGGTTACCATAATGCCTCCCGCTATCTCTAATAGAATTGCCTATATCATTAGTTATAATATGATTGAACAAAACAGTAAAGAATAAAACCGACAAAACCAAAGCATTGGAGACATTGTAGGTCTTCAAAGGTAGATAAAAGTCAACGAGAATGGGCGTTATAATGAATCTCATTATCTTCACAGCTGATGCCTAAACTTTCGAACCTGATACTATCCAGCAAAACAGAATAGGGGAACATCAGTCAAAAACAAGCTGGTGAGAGTAATGCAGGGCTTTAAATTGAGATAATGGAAAGTCAAAGTGGGTTACTATAATATATCTTGCTATTTTTTCCCTTAATTAAAAGGATAAAAATAAAAAAGTAAATAATGGAGTGAAGATTGAGATAAAAGAGGGCATAACAGCGAAACAGTGCAGATCAAAACATAACCATTTAAGCAGAATAGTGTTTCACCAATGGTTTTACATTGTTTTGATATACTTAATGCTACAGTATACGAAGTTGTACTCAAGGATTTCAAGGAAAGAGACAATATGGTAACTACTTTTAGGTCAGGATTATCTGGTTGATTTCTTGATACTAGCCTTTTTTCTGCAGTGAGATAATGTCTCAATGTTGTTTTAATTTGCATCTCTCAAATAACCACTGATGGTGAACATTTTTGCGTATATTCCTTTGCCATTTTTATTTCTTCCCTTGAGAAGAGCATTTTCATCTCAGTTGCCGATTTTTGGATTGGCTCTTTGAATTTGGGGGTTCTGATTTTTCAGTTCTTTATATGTTCTATAAGTCCTTTGTCTGAAAGACAATTGTGTCTGATTTTTTCCCTATTCTCTGTATTGTGTTTTATTCTTTTGATAATTTCTTTTTATTCACAAAAGTTTTTTTAAAAAATGAAATAAGATCTCAGTTGTTGATTATTTGCAATATTTCCCATGCAATCTCAGTTTTGGTCATGAAATTTCTGCCTACACCTGTGTCTTCAAGATTTCTACCTATTTTCTCTTCCAGTAGACTTAATTTTTTTCTTTTAATACTTACATATTAGTTCCATTTTGACTTTAGTTTAGTTCACACTGATTTCATATTCAGTATGTGGAGAGCCAGTTTTTCCAGCACCACTTATTAAAGAGGCTCTCTTTCTTTAAGTGAACATGTTTGGCCCACTTGTGAAAAATAACATGGCTGAGTGTGTTTGTAGTTGAGCCTGCATTTTCTAATCTGTTCTACCAATCCTCATCTGTTTTATTTTGCCAATGCCATGCTGATGTTATTATAGTAGCTTTGTAGTATAATGTCAAGTCAGAGTTTGTGAGGTTCCTTAACTTGCCTTGTTGCCCAGGATTGCTTTTGCCATTGTAGGTCACTTCTGATTACATATGAATTTTAGGAGTATTTCTATAGATCTGTGAGTTATGCTAATGCATTTTGATCAGAATGGCATTAAATTTCTGTAACAGTTTTGGGTTAGGGTCATTTTCACTCTTGGTTCTTCCTATCCATGAACTATGGCTATCTTTCCATTTTCTGAAATCCTATTCAATCTACTTTTTTAGGATACTGTAATTATTTTTATTGGAAAACTAATTTTCTTTTTAAAAAAATAAGATTAAGTAAAAGAGGACATAACAAAACAGGTCAGAACAGAACAGTTTAAGCAACATAGTGTTCCAACACAAGACAATCCGATGTAACAGTAGCTACCATAGTGTTTCTGTCCTTGAAATAATTGAGTATACCTTCATATACCATAGTATCAAACAAAAAAGACAGTGTAAAACCATTCAAGAGAAGAAAATATTACAGGGTATTCAGAATCAACTAACAGAAAATGAACAAAGATTACTATCTTATTTCCTTAACTATGAAATATTATGTTTATACTATCACATATAATAAAATCCAATAAGATACAAAATGATAAAACCAATGGAGACAGAAGAGCAAAAGCTTGATGAGACTTCAAAACAAGATAATATTAAATCATCACTAGCTATTATAATGTCTTGCTTTCTTCAAAACAGCTGTTCATACCATCTCAGACAATAAAATCAAATAACCCAGAATAAAACCATTCCAATTAATGAATGAAACATTAATAGGTTTCAAAGCAATATGATGAGGAATCATAATTACCATGTAATTTTATGTATTCTTAGCATTTCTTACACTAGGGAAAATATTTGGTATTTATACATGTGAGTTTGATTTATTTCACTTATGAGTATGGTCTCAAGCTGTGTTCATTTACTTATAAATATCTTAATGTGATCATTTTTTAAAGCTGAGTAGTACTCCATGGTATAAAAATATCACAACTTTTTTATCCATTCCTCAATTGATGGGCATTTAGGTTGTTTCGAAGATCTGGCTATTACAAACTGTGCTGCTATAAACATGGGTGCACATATATCACTGTGGTATGATGTTTTCAGTTCTTGTGGGAATATGCCTAGAAGGGGAATAGCTGGGACAAATGGGACCTCTTATCCCAGCTTTCTCAGAAATCTCCAGACTGACCTCCACAATAGAGGCACTAGTCTACACGCCCACCAACAGTGCAAGAGAGTTCCTTTTTCCCCAAAGCCTCTCCAGTATTTGTTGTTGGTAGTTTTCTTGATCCTGGCTATTCTTTCTGGAGTGAGATGGAATCTCAGTGGAGCTTTAATTTGCATTTCTATAATGAGTAATTATGACATACATTTTTTCATGTATTTATTTGCCATTTGTATTTCTTTATCTGAAAATTGTGTATTCATCTCAGATGCCCATTTTTGGATTGGATTCTTAAATTTTGGAGATCTGATTTTGTAATATTCCTTAAATGCTTTAGACAGAAATCCTTTGTCTGAGGAACAGTTCACTAAGATTACTTCCCAGTTTGTAGGTTTTCTTTTTACTATGCTAGAGATTTCTTTGGACATGCAGAAACTTTTTAATAAGACATGATCCCAGTTGTTGATTCTGGGAAGTATTTCCTGTGCGGTTTGATTCCTGTTCATGAACTCTCCACCTATCCCTATGTTCCCAAGGGTTTTACCCAACTTATCTTCCAATAGATTTAACATGCATATCTTTGATCCATTTAGATTTTAATTTAGTACATAGTGATAGACATGGGTCTAGTCTTAATTTTCAGCATATGGAGAGCCAGTTTTTCCAACACCATTTATTAAAGAGACTGTTGTTCTTCCAGTGAACATGTTTGGCCCCTTTATCAAAGATAAGGTGGTTGAGTGTGTTTGTAGTTGTGGTTGTATCTTCTAATCTATTCCATTGATCTTCGGCTCTGTTTTCATTCCAATACCATGTTGATTTTACTACAGTTGCTTTGTAGTGTAACTTCAAGTCAGGGATTGTGATGCCTCCTGCCTTGCCTTTACTACTTAGAGCTCTCTTTGCTATTCTAGGTCTCTTCTGGTTCAGATGAATTTTAGGAGTGATTTCTCTAGATCTATGAGGTATGTTGATGGTATTTTGATTGGGATTGCATTGAATCTGTGTAACAATTTTGAAAGGATGACCATTTTCACAATATTTATTCTTCCTATCCATGAGTAAGGGATGTCTTTCTACCTTCTGAGACCCTCTTCAATTTCTCTTTTCAGTGTATCATGATTTTCCATGTATAGACCTTTCACTTCTTTTATGAGGATAATTCCTAAATATTTAATTTTTTTGGTTGCTAGTGTGAAGGGTGTGGCTTCTCTTATTTCTATCTCTGTAATCTTGTTGTTAGTGTATAGAAATGCCATTGATTTCAGAGTACTGATTTTGTATTTAGCGACATTGCTGAATTTATTTGTTATATCTAGTAGTCTTTCAATGGAGTTTTGGGGGCCTTTTATATAGAGTATCTTGTAATCCACAAATAATGATAATTTAACCTCTTCTTTTCCTATCTTTATCCCTTTTATTTCTCTCTCTTGTCTAATTGCTGTGGCTATTATTTCCAGTACTATATTAAATAGGAGTGGTGATAAGAGACATCCTTGTCTTGTGCCTGATTTCAAGGAAAAGGCCTTCAGTTTTTGGCCATTTAGTATGATACTGGCTGTTGGTTTGTCATAAATGGCCTTTATCATATTGTTGTAAAGACCATCTGTTCCAATTTTTTGTAAGGTTCTTATCATGAATGAATGTTGGACCTTATCAAATTTTTTTTCTGCATCTATAGAAATGATCATGTGATTCTTACTTTTGGCTTTATTGATATGGTGGATTACATTTATTGATTTACATATGTTGACCTATCCCTGTGTGCCTGTGGTGAATCCCACTTGATCATGGTATAATCTTCTTGATGATTTGCTGCATCCTATTTGCCAATATTTTATTGAGGATTTTTGCATCTGTGTTCATCAGTGAGACTGACCTGTAGTTTTCTTTTTTAGTTGGGTCTTTTTTAGGTTTTGGTAGTAGAGTAATATTTCCTTCTAGGAATGACTTAGGGAGAATTGTTCCCCTTTCAGTTTCACTGAAGAGTTTGAAGAGTGTCAGCATTAAGTCTTCTTTGATTTTCTTGAAGAAATCTGCAGTGAATTCATCTGGGCCTGGGCTCTTCTTTGTAGGTGAGGACTTAATTACATTGTGAATTTCATTAATAGAAATTGGGTTATTCAGCAGTTTTATGTCTTCTTGACCTAGATTTGGTACTTCATATGTTTCTCGGAATCTGTCAAAATCTGCTGTATTATCAAACCTATGAGAGTAGAGGTTTTTGAAATGGGCTTTGATGATCTTCTAT